GGAGAAATTAAACCAGTTCATTGAATTCAGTGTTTGGGAAGGCTCGAGGCCAGATGTTATTTGGTGCCAAGGTGAGTAAAGTTAGACCTAGTCTATTTCTGATTCACACATCTTTTTCTGGGGACTCTGGTGTGGAGATGTACTAGTGCACTGAACTTATAGTTTGCAATGTGTATGCATGTATGCATTAACAAAGTGTGGAGCCTTGAGGTGTACTGACCATGCATGGGAAATGTTGAGCCATGCAAAAATTCAAAGATTTTTATGAATATTTGCATGAGAAATGTATTAAACAGTGGCGGCGGAACATTTGGGGGAGGGCTGGGGTGTGTTCCCCCCCCCCCCATTGAAATCAAATCAAATTATATTGATAATGAAAACTAGAGTATTTTTTATGTACATGTATAAAGATGGGGGTGCGGTGTCCGGAGACTTAACACAAATAAAATCGCCTCCTTCTGCCTTTGAATTTCACAAAAACTATGGATCAAATAACAAAAATAATCATGAGCATTTGTGATTTATAATATTGTCTTACATTACATTCAAACAAATTATGAAATCTTGCTTCCAAATTTCTTGAAATTGCCGTTTTGTCCGGATATCCAACCCGTCCGGACACCCAATGACACCCAGTGACATAATATACAAAATAAAGACAACAAAACAACAAAAACAAGAACAAAAAAAAGAACAAATACTTTTCTATAGAAGTATTTCAGCCATTCCGGGTAAAGAAATTGTACACCTAAAAGTATGAATTAAAGAACAATTATTTAGGCATTAATTTTGCTGCATGATATCATCTGCTATTGCTAATTAAGTTCTACACACGTATTGTTAATATATTTTTCATCAGATTTTGTTTACATAGAGAGGGTTCATTTTGAACCCTTCCAAAAAGTTCCGTAACTCGACTTTGAGGGGATATCTTTTTTGTTACGGAAACTGTTTAGTGGTATATATGGAAAGATTCATTTCCTTTTGATAATGATATGCCATCTGTTCTGATTGTGGAATCACGGATTATGCAGAACCCCTAGATATATATAATATAGGGAATGTAAAAATTAAAATGCTAAATATTGTTTTCTGACAAAAGTTTCAATTTTTTTCTTGGTTTGAGGGACTTTGTTGGCAATTGCATAGGATGGACTGAGTTTGAATGATGTTGATGCTGATGCAGGAAAGTCCACACACTGTGTATATTTATTTGCAAAATGGACTGAATGTGTGCGGAAAAATGTTGAACTCCGTCATTAAAACGGTCTTATGTTTTGGACAAGTTTGAGATATTGGTATAGTTTTAAATTTACTTTTAAAAAACTTTCCACTTCAAACCCTAAATAATGCAGTAATATGTCATTCTTTATGTTTCAGATAACTCATACATGTATGCACATAATGGGAACATGTCCCGTCAACATCACAAATCATTCATTTAAAACATTAATGAAGTAATCATGGCATGAATACAAGGAAACAACAACAATAACCAAAAGGAGAAAAGACCAGACTTTTTTAATAGAAAACAATGGATTTTGCTAGATATATATTAAGGTCTACTGTGCAGTCCATGATTACATAATGAGAACAGATTGCACACCATTGTAACGAACAATAATGAAGCATTCCAATAATACAAGTTTTACCATTCATAGATCAGTAATCATTCCACAAACTTTTTTGAGGGCTGTATATCCAATCAGATCTATGGCTTTTTCATTTTGATTGTGGCTTCTATCTGCTTTTCTCCCAATAGACTTCCCATCTGGACTCCTGGTCAAATATTCCAGCACCTCCACCCACTCCAGAATCCTCTTTTTCTTCATCTTTATCTCTATCACCTCCATCTACATCAGATTCCTTGTCATTTAATCTTTCCCTTGTTGTTTTTCCTCCATCTCCACCATCTTCTCCTTCAGAATCCTTGGCTTCTTTTTCTACTTCTTCGTTATCTGCATCATCTCCATCTACATCAGATTCTTTATCATTTAATATTCCCCTTCATTCTCCTCCTTCCCCACCCTCTTCTCATACCTGTTCTATGTTTCATATGTCTTCACCATCTCGCACCTCCCTGTGTTCTCCATCTCTTCGAGTTGATGTTCAGTTGTATATTTTGTTCATCCTCTCCATGTTGATTGTGGTATTGATTGTATTTTTTGTGATATTTTGCTTGTAACTTCTGGTATTCTTGTTGCTGTTGTATCATTGTTCATCTATTTCTTATCATCACCACGCATATGGTATCGGGATTTTCTCCCTGCATGTACTCATATTCCAAAATAATATGGTGAGTGATTCCATATGCTATTTCATTGTATTTATTTTGAACAGATCACTGAAATCCCCAGTGCAAATAACTCATTCCTTTGGTCTTCATTTTTATCATACACTATAAGGGTCCTATTATACTATGGGGTTTGTCATCTTTTGTCTGTTTGTCTGGTAGCAGATATTTGTGGGGATAAGTCTACTTCCATTTTTAACTTAATATTTTTTTGGGGTATTTTGAGAGATGAAAAGTACAAATTCACACTTTATTTTTGTTAAGCGTCTGTACACCCCCCCCCCTCTCCCCGGAAAAATAATTTTTAAAAGTCCTTCATTGATTTTGGCCTTTGTTGGGCATAAAGTACATGTTAAACAATATTTGCCCCTTTGTAACTTCTTAAATGTGTTCCTCTAATTTATTCTTTGAGCACACTAGTGATTGATGGTGCATGCGCAGGAGTGTCACTGCTGTACATGAGAGAAAGCCTCATCTGGGTCATGTAGCATATTTAAATTTAGTAGATCATGCCTTTTTTCAAGATCAGACTTGAAGGAATTGACATTGCAGCAATTTATGACTTTGGATGGGAGATTGTTCCACAAGGTTTTTTAACGCAATATCTTTCATCATGCTATCTTAAATTTTAACTGGCCTTTGAGTCAAAATTTGATAAACAAGTTTCTTTGCAACCAAAACTGTACAAAAGGATAGCTTTACTAGGTAGATCAAAAAAAATACTTAACGTTCGTCGGTTTGAAATTGTTAGCATATGCTTTGATATTGCCATTAAATGTAAAAAGTATACTTATAAAACAACATAAAATAATGTGTCGTTTGGTTTTGGGTGTACCAACGTGCACCCCAACCTCACAAGTTTTGAATAGACTAAAGTGGGTCTCCATTTTCGACCAATGGAAATTTCACCAATGTAAGATGGTTTTTCAGGCTGTTAATGACCTAGCTCCACAATATATATGTAATTTGTTCTCTAATTATCTAATATTCATTCTCATAATACACGTTCTTCAAGAAATAATTCTGTTAAACTCTTACCGGTAAAAACTGAAATTGGAAGATCAAGTTATGTTCATTCTAGTTCTGTTATGTGGAACAGTTTACCCAATTTTGTTAAGAATTCACAAACCATCTCACAATTTGTTAAACATTTTTGGTATTCTGTTAAAGTTAATTCCCAAAATGCTGATCATTAGTTTAATTTAATTTTGCAGCCTAATGTTACTATTTTATGTATGTATACTTTACCTTTGTATTTTTCATGTATGTGTATTTTTTGTTGTAGGGCCCCAGTGAAAAACAGTGCCTTGATCACTGATTAGGCAACCCTACTAAAATAAAACAAATACATAAATAAATAAATAAACTATACTTGGGGTTTAAATGATACATGCAATTTATGGAAGATTGGTAACAAGCTGTTAATATCCTCACTGGATCTTCACCGCTTTGAGTATTTTGAGACGTCATCTGGTTTCTTTGAAAAACCCAGTCTATCTTGTTCCATGGATGCTTTTTGTTAAATTACAAACAAATTTAAGCTTTGTATTAGTCCATCAAAGGGGGAAACCCTTTTCAAAAATTAGGTATTTTTGTTAGCTCAATTATTTGGAAAATCAATGCATGTGTATCAAGTGTTTTTACTTTAATGCAAATATTTAGACCAAATCTATATTTTGTGACAGCTTTTTACACATGGATGGGCATAGTTTTAAGAATTTAATTTGCAGTGAACAGGGGAAAAATAGCCCCAGTACATAAAATTTAACCACCCCCCCCCCCTCCCCGGCAGCTGGAATAAATCAGACATTTGAAAGAACTCTTTAAAAATGAACTCCAGACCAAAAAATAACTGAATTTTATAAAAATGTTCCAGAAAAATATTCCAGGGTAAAAAAGTAATGAAAATGTGATAAGAAATAAGGTACTTATGATTTTTTTTTAGTTTCCCATATTTTTAGAAAACAATAAGTCACAATTATTCTTCTATATACCTAACCTGCAAGGGCTGAATTCAATAGATATGGTTTAGTGATCCTACTGTGATTCTGTTGTGATAAAGCCTTTTGCAGGTTTAACCCATAGAGGTACATGCAGTGTCACCTTGTTGGCAGTATCTCCACATTCCAAATACACTGAGTATTTTGAGCCTCTTTCCAGTGCAATGTGATTTTGCGTTCCTGAGTAAGGGCAGTTTGAATGTAGCAAATCACTGCGATCCTTAAATTGGTAATTTGCAAAGAAAATTTATAAATCACTACTTCTGCGTTAGCATTGGCCGTTTTTGTTCCAATTTTTTTCACAAAAAAATCTCTTTTTGATGCTATTATATCTAAATTCATTTATTTTTTATCATTTAATAGAGGGGAAAAAAATACATGTTGCCAATTTAAATATTGATTGAAGATTATTTTTTTATTTCCTAAAGGCTCTGTCCCTCCATGGATTAACAGGTAGAAGAAAAATTGTGACTGGCACTGTATGAATATTCATTTTAGTGAAGAGATGATGTTATACCATCACAATTTCCTACACGATTCGATTACAGAAAATGAGAAAAATCTCACTCAAATGAGAAAAATCTCATTTTCATGCAAAATAAAGTAAATCTGTTTTCTCTCTATAGATCTCCCAAAATGGGAAATTATGTCTACTATGACATATTTCAGGGTTGTATTTTCAACTACATTTGCCAAAAAATTTATTTTTCTTGATTTCATCTTTATGATTTGTGTGACCTGATGACATCATCACTTCACTCAAATGAATATTCATATTGACTGGTCAAGAAGTGTTTTCCGAATCATAACTTCCATCTTTTCATGATTTTTGTAACATTTTGTAGGGAATATTTTTTTTTCCTTTTTATGAATCCAGTTATTTGGGCCTGGAGTTCTTTATTAATTCTAAGTTAAAGAGGAAAAAAAAAGGGGGGGAGTGACATATGATATGTTACTTTACAGTTGACATACACTGTATAACTAGATGTTCATGTAGAGCATTTCATGATCCTCTTTTGACAGAGTCAGAGACGTAACCGCCGCATCTCACCCTACCATATAGCGGAGAGGTGGTGCGGCCTTGGAGAAGATCAGGAGGGATTTAAAAAAAAAATTATCAACGATGACATAGGTACTGTACACATAGATTATGCAGTTTAGTAGTGGCTGTATTGAACTAGTCCTTTGATGTGCAAGTCATGAGATCAAGGCTAGTTAAACCTTTAGGAAGACTTTTTGTATTTTGGTTCAATACCTTTTGATTCAAGGCTCTGAAAAATATGGTTCACAGATAGCAGCATTGTACAAGCAGAAAGAGAGAAGAAAAAAATCTACACAAAGTCTGATCATTGTGATCATTTATCGATCATTAAACACAGAATTTTCAAAATGAATATAATCACTAAGATTGTAAAAAATCCTTAAATTAGCAGCATGTTTCTGCATTTGTTAATGTGATATTGAAAGATTTGGTCCACACTTGTGGTCGATTGTGCGGACATTCAGTAATAAAAAGAAACGTCAATTTTAAGCATTTTCTGGAGGTAACCCCCCCCCCCCACACACACACACCTTTGCTTTGTATGACCATGATTACATGGTACTCTGCCATAAGGTTTTTTTTGTTTTACTTTTTTTTTAACTTTAACAAAATATTTTCCTTCTCCACTTTTAGGACATGGACTTGTGACAAATAAACCCTTTTTAAAGGGAGATTTCCTCCTGGAATATCGTGGAATATTGTCCATTGCTGATGATCAGGATGATGAGAATGCGGATTATGTTTTCCACTTCTCGCATAAAAGTACCGAGTATCGGTGAGTGATTTTAAAATCCTGTTTCTTCAGTTTATGCTGACTAACATTTGCATGCTTTATACATGTAGTCGAAGACTACATAAAGCATATTATGAAATATTATTATATTATGTTTTAAAAATATCAGCAAAATCATGAAAGTGTCTGTTAATGCAGTTTTTGTCTCGCCTGAACGATGTTCTGGCAGAGACCTAGTAATAGGAGTGGGCTATAAATGGATGATTCTTGATTTTCTTTTTGCAACAGCATGAAATGACAAAATATTTTGGCTTAGGGTCTGACAAAAATGTACGCCGGGCCAAACTCCATACCTGCCAACCAAAAAGCGGAATTTTTGTCTTTTGCATTTAATTAGGGGGTATCAAATATTTAGATGTTGATTACTATCTGAACACAACAATACCATTATCCATCCACCCGTCTTCTCATAACTCTTTATTATTAGCTGGTATTAACATTAAGAAAGCAAGACGCAAGAATTTCTCAAGATTGAGCGGTGTGCCTTTGTGAATTACAGCCAAAAATTTAGAGCACCTTGCATATCCGAGTCACAAGCACGAAATGCCAGTGAATATTGAAATATTGAAATACATTCTATTTAGAATCATTCACTGGCATCTTTTCAATTTGGTACCGCCCCATCAAACGTAAAAGCTTTTAGGTTTGTAGCTCTGAAAATAGAAAATGGCTACCGATTTACCCCCAAACTAGATTTTCGGGCATAACTAGTACAATCTTCCTCTAGTAACATGAATGTCATCAGTCCAATGTTGTTGCTGCCATATTTCATATCCAGTACCAGCCCACATTAGGTGGTCCACTTGTAGAGCTTCATCCCCATGGTCATTCATGTAGAATAATGTTGCAAGGACTATATGGAGGAAAAAGTGGTAGGAGGAAAGACTGGAGATATTGTAGGATGCCAGAGAAGCTGAAACTAGAATATTTATAATTTTTATAATAATAACAATGTCCCATGTGGTCGCTGCCATATTTCTTATCCAGTACGAGCACGCATAGGTGGTCTACTTGGAAAGTTTCATCCCCATTGTCATTCAAGAAGAACACAATTATATCATCTTTTAGTTCCCCTCTCTCATCCATAATAAAATCGAGTGGTTGTTGAGTTTGGAAGATACAGGTTCAGGAGAGTGAAATATTCTATTCTCAGCTTCTCTGGCATCCTACAAGATTTCCAGTCTTTCCTTCTACCACTGTTTCCTCCATATAGTCCTTGCAACAGTGTTCTACATGAATGACCATGGGGATGACATGACCTACATGTATCAGTGTTGTGGTGCCTTGATGCTTGGCCTTAAGGCCTGTTTTTTCAATGCCTTTGCCTTGAACTTGGTCTTGGGGTTTCAGGCCTTGGCCTTGGCCTTGCCTTGAGGGGGTCATGCCTTGGCCTTGAGAGTTTGGGCCTTGACTACAACACTGACATGTATACGCGTGCTCGTACTGGATATGAAATATTGTAGCGACCACATGGGACTGAATATATCCAGGGCATTTTAGGGGAAGATCGTACCAGTGCATGACCTTGAAAGAAACCTATAATTTATCAAGTAGAAAGCCAAATTTTGGTTTCAGCAATGCTAGAGAAATGGAGGATTGTGCAAACTTGATCTAAGTTAATATGTCCTCATACGTTTATACAAACCTAGACTGTGTTACTTTTGCAGCGCATGTTGTCCTCGTACATTTATGCAAACTTGAGCTGTCTTGCAATACAATGTCCTCATAAATGTGCGCAAACTTTATCTGTGTTAATATGTCCTCATAGGTTTATACAAACAAAGACTGTGTTTCATTTGCAACGTATGTTGTCCTCATAGATTTATGCAAACTTGAGCTGTGTTACCTACTTTTTTTTACCCACTTTTTTCAGTTAACACGTGCAAGCCTATGGGAGTGTGTAAAAATGGTATTATACACAGCCCCAATTGTGGCAGCCCCCCCCCCCTCTTTCAAAACGTTCCGCGGCTCCTGCTTAACTTCTTAGAAAAGTGAATATACGTTGCAAGAAACACAAATCAAGTTTGCAGCAACTCATGGGGACTTTGCAAATCTGCAGCCTGTAACATAGAGAGATACGATTAATTTTGCAATAAATCGTATCTCGATATGGTACATAATTTGCCATAGACTTGCGATTAATATTTATCGTAAGTTTAATTGCATGTTTTATAAACCCCTGGACTGTGCTACTTTTGCATGGCATTTTCTTCGTACATTTACACAAATACCATGTCCTCATAAGTTTGCGCAAACTTGATAAGTGTGAAATAACTGTGCAATAAGTCCTCGTGTGTTGCTGCAAACCTGATGGCCCGAATTCACAAAGCAAGGTTTAGCTCAGACCAAGGTTTAAGTTTAAACCTCCTTTTGTTTCGCCAAACCTCCTTTTGTTATTTATAAACCTGGTTTGTAAATAACAAAAGGAGGTTTGGCGAAACAAAAGGAGGTTTAAACTTAAACCTTGGTCTGAGCTAAACCTTGCTTTGTGAATTCGGGCCACTATGTGTACATGTAATGTCCTCATAAGTTTACAGAAACTTTACCTGTGTTAATATGTCCTCATAATTAAGTTTAAACAAAGACTGTGTTACATTTGCAACGTATGTTGTCCTCGTACATTTGGTCATTTTCAAACGTGTGAGACGCGACATTTTGAGAGACAAAAGGGCCTGTATCATTCCACTTGGAAATGAATAGTGGATCATACCTATCATATTTGGTAAATTGTAGGATGGTCTCATTCTACTACCAGTTTGAGTTAAATTCTGTATTTCTTAGAAAAATTACGACTACCGTACAAAAAGGGGCGTGAGAGACACGACAAATTTTGGACATGGTTTTTGGACTGCTATCAGTGATAATTTTATTCGTGCCCAACTAAACCTCCGACACTTCCATGACTGCTGGTACTTGTGTACTAGTAGTGTACCTTTCTAAAATATATAGTCGTAATAAATCATCTCGTCTCAGTGATAAATGATTCTCCCCTAAATACTGTGAGAGACGCGACATCCAAATCGTGAGAGACGCGACATGTCCACTTTAACTTAAATTTTTGATACTTTCTCATCAATAGGCAACAGTGATAGCACCTCAAATTGAAAGATATTAACCATTTCTTACTATCTGGTCCAAATTTGATTGATGAAATAATGCAAGAGAGGAGAAATATAGAATTTTCTAACATTTTGTGAAGCCCAGTCCCACATGTACAATTTTTTGTACAGTTTTCATTTCTCCTATAAGGAGAAGGCGGACATCCAAAAATTTTGTGAAAAATGAAAATTCATATTGTATTCACATGGTACGTGAAAGAAAATTGCCCAAAAATATCATAAGTTTTGAAATACGGCCAATTGACAATTAAAAAAAATGTCCACTTATGTTTGAAAATGACCATTTATGGAAATTTGAGCTGTGTTACCTATTCAATACAATGTCCTCATAACTTTGCGCAATCTTGATCTGTGTGAAATACCTTTGCAATATAAAGTCCTCATATGTTGCTGCAAACTTGATTTGTGTTTCCTATATATCAATGCTCGTAAGTTTACAGAAACTTGATCAGGAAAAAAGTGTTCTTCTTGAACGACAATGGGGATGAAACTTTCCGAGTGGACCACCTATGCGTGCTCGTATTGGATATGAAATATGGCAACGACCACATTGGACTGAATATATCCAGGGCATTTTAGGGGAAGATTGTACCAGTGAGCTTGTCGGAAACCTGTCATTTATCCAGTAGAAAGCCAAATTTTGTCTTCAGCAATGCTAGAGAAATTGAGGATATCTTTTCGATAAATATGCTTATTTATGCAAATTAGCCCAATCCATTGTTCATAACGGATGCTAGCACTAGACATGTACCTGATAGATTTTACCACTTTTTAATGCACTTACAGATTACAAACATAGGGTAAGACACCAAATCCAAACAAAAAGACGTACAAATCACAAAGTTATAGCTGAAAGTGTGATCTGGGGGCAAAGTGGCGGCCATTTTGGATTTTGGTTGGACCCCAAGCCAAAAATTTTGTTATTCCATGTTGAGATAGAGTATTAAATGGAAAACAAAAAAAGTAGTAATCACTTTTCCTGTCTGTTGGTTTTGTTCAACTCGCTCTTGTTTTTCTACTTGTTGATCAATTTCGTTCACACTTCGAACAAATGATCCTCAGGTAATACCAGACATGAAGTGATAAAGATGTTGAGGTCAAAGGTCATCTATTGTTTGGTTGCCCTCCACCGACCAATTCTTTGAAATTAGCCCGACCTGATTATTTATATTTTTTTTATTTGTTTTAAAACTTTTCATTCACATAGAAATTCATAAATGGCCATGCGTTTTGAACTCGCCTCCTTTTGTGTTACCATCCCCCAAAATTAAAGCTGACAGTCACGCACCTTTCAGCATAAAAATGCCAATAACTTTAAAAATATTAACTCTTTCCTGCAAAAGTATACATTTTATGAAAGGAAATACCCTGAGGATTTCAAAAATGCCATTGAAAATGGGATAGGGTGGAGTTGTAAAATGTTATGATTGAAAATATTTGAAGTGTGATGATTCCAAAAATACATTTCAAAATATATCTAGATCTGCAATTCCTTTACCCTGACTGTTAGTTTCTCATCATATTTGAATTGTTCAGGAAATTCCCTTTCAGATGATATCGAATTGTATGGGGTATCTCTATTCTATAATAGAAATATTAATATGCAAATATACGCAAATTCTCAGCACACAAAATTGTCAATTTGGAGGTTAAATTTACAAAAAAGTGATTACTAACAAAATAAAAATAATAAACATAAGCAAATAAAAGCACACTTAATTACCTTTAATTCAAGACCAAAACCATAGGTCTAGCCCCATGTATACCGAAATTATGAACGTTTAAAGCGAAAAACCCTTAAAATGCATTGTCTCCATAGAGTTTGTGTGTGTTAGTATGGTGGAATGTGACATTTTTATCACATAATTCAAGAAAAATAATACTTATCAATAATAAGTGTATACATAATGTAGCAGGCATCATTACCTTCAATATGAGACCAAAATCAATTGAATAGCCCCATGTTTGCCAAAGTTATTTACGTTAAACTGTTTCGCATGTCGCTCCCATAGATATACTGTGTACCGCTCCCCCCCCCCCCAACCGACTTTGCCATGTGTCATTCTATCTTACGTAGCGTCGTTATTTTACGCGCGAACGAGTTTATATTTGCAGATGTGATAGTTCTGTTAATTAGCTTTAGAATGCTACCAAATTCAAGACTATTACCCTATTTTTTAGGAAAGATATTAACATTTATAGACAATGAAATGTGAAAAAGCGTAAAAAAACCCAACATTTTGGGGTGGTGAGTTCAAAACACATGGCCAAAAATACATATGAAATATGTTTTTCAAAGAGTCATTAAAAATAGTCTATTGGAATTTCTTTGCCCCTCAGTAATTATTTTCCAACAGACAGCAATAGCCATCTGTTTCTGGTGAATAATTTAATTTGGGGGGATTTCTAGGGTCCTGGCGAGTTAGAGGCCAGAGATTTTGGTCCAATTTTTCATATAAGATGTCAAAACTAAAAATAAATAAAACAAAAATTAAAAAAATGCCCGACCGACCGACACTATTTTTCAAAAATGACATTCTTGGGCGACCAAACAATTTTTTTTTCTTGGCCTAAGTGAGTTGAGAACTTCCAGTACTGTGTACTATAGATCTTATTCTTGGTTTGTTCATTCTCTCCAGGATTGATGCATCAGATAGCAATTCTTGCCTCGCTAGGTGGGTCAACGATGATCATGTGCATCCAAATAGCATCATGAAAAAGGTTGCATTTGATAATAACTCCCCACATTTGTGCTTGTTTGCTTTGGTGGACCTTAAAGAAGGTGTGGAACTAACATACGACTATGGAGTAAAGAATTTACCTTGGCGGCAGGTAAATGGAACATGTTCTTGTTTGCTGATATTCTAATGTATGCACTTGGTAAAAGGTGAATCTTAATGGGAAGCTTGCTTATGAAGTAACCTAATGCTATTAGACCTTTGACATTCAAGATAATTATAATGTGATAAAAGAAAGAAGTGTACCTCAATTTTTGTAAATGACTAAATTTTGCTATATAATTAGACCTCACATTGAAAGACAGATCCACATTTCAGAATAAACCCTCAGAAAAAACAAAAACTTTCAGGAAAATTTTCTGTTAATGATGATTTATTAATTGTTTTCAAATTAAAAAGTAATTTGAAGTGCCTTGTTAGGTAAGAAAATAAAAGAAGGACAAAAAAATGTTTGCCAAACATGGTTCTGATACCTTTTATCCTCAAATTGGTCCCCCCCCCCCTCAAAAAAAAAATTGATGGCAATGGTGAGCGTAATAATCATCTTTACTATGGAGTCGTTACTATGTTTATGATACATACATGTATAATACCATACCTGTAGATGCCTTATTTGCACTTCCGTATTCGGCCAGAACATAAAAGAAAAGGAATAAAAATGGGGACAAGGTGAAATATAAAAAGGGGGAAAAAAAGAAAAAAAAAGTTTTAAAAATACAAGAAAATAAATGGAAAGAAAAGGGGTAAACAAAAAATATGGCAATGATGAAATGTTTCATGTCTTTCTCTCATGTATTGTAGCCCAGTCTGGAAAAGGAAAAGAACATACCATCTTCGGTAAGTATAGAGATCCTCAATTAGTGTGTTGAAATTGCTTAGTATTAAAACATGCATGTCCTCTCTTGAATATGTGAACAATTTCTATGTCAAATAATCAGTGTACATGTAATGTTCTCAAACACTTATGGAAACAAGTTCATTGTTGCATTGCAGTGTAATCTAACAGATTTATGCAAACAAGTGTTACTACCGAATTGTTACAATGTTTATGATACCTGTAGATGCCTTATTTGCCTTCTCGTATTCGGGCAGAACAGAAAAGAAAAGAAACGAAAATGCGGACAAAGTGAAATATAAAAAGGGAAAAGGAAAGAAAAAGAAAGTTTTAAAAATACAAGAAAATAAATGGAAAGAAAAGGGGTAAAAAAAAAAAATATGACAATGATGAAATGTTTCATGTCTTTCTCTCATGTATTGTAGCCCAGTCTGGAAAAGGAAAAGAACATACCATCTTCGGTAAGTATAGAGATCCTCAATTAGTGTGTTGAAATTGCTTAGTATTAAAACATGCATGTCCTCTCCTGAATATGTGAACAATTTCTATGTCAAATATGCAGTGTACATGTAATGTTCTCAAACACTTATGGAAACAAGTTCATTGTTGCATTGCAGTGTAATCTAACAGATTTATGCAAGCAAGTGTTACTACCGAATTGTTACAATGTTTATGATACCTGTAGATGCCTTATTTGCACTTGCGTATTCGGGCAGAATAGAAAAGAAAAGGAACAAAAATGGGGACAAGTTGAAATATAAAAAGGGAAAAGAAAAGAAAAGTAAAAGTTTTAAAAATACAAGAAAATAAATGGAAAGAAAAGGGGTAAACAAAAAAAGATGGCAATGATGAAATGTTTCATGTCTTTCTCTCATGTATTGTAGCCCAGTCTGGAAAAGGAAAAGACCATACTATCTTTGGTAAGTATAGCGATCCTCAATTAGTGTGTTGAAATTGCTTAGTATTAAAACATGCATGTCCTCTCTTGAATATGTAAACAATTTCTATGTCAAATTTGCAGTGTACATGTAATGTTCTCAAACACTTATGGAAACAAGTTCATTGTTGCATTGCAGTGTAATCTAACAGATTTATGCAAACAAGTGTTACTATCAAATTATTACAATGTTTATGATACCTGTAGATGCCTTATTTGCACTTGCGTATTCGGGCAGAATAGAAAAGAAAAGGAACTAAAATGGGGACAAGTTGAAATATAAAAAGGGAAAAGAAAAGAAAAGGAAAGTTTTAAAAATACAAGAAAATAAATGGAAAGAAAAGGGGTAAACAAAAAAAGATTGCAATGATGAAATGTTTCATGTCTTTCTCTCATGTATTGTAGCCCAGTCTGGAAAAGGAAAAGACCATACTATCCTGAATCTCCTATTTCAACTTTAAAAAAGTTAAAAGCAGAGAAAATGTATTAGAAACTTGATAATGTGCATAATTTGCAATACTACAATGAAGTACATGGACAAATAGTCCACTTAGTTTCTGGGAGAGGATACACGATTTCTAATTGGCTATTGAAAGGAGTGCAAAAAAGAAAATAATACAATTGAGACAGAAAAGAAGAATGAAAGAGAAGTTATAAATTGGACAATGGAATGTCCACATTTATATACAAAGTCGTTACATATTTCTGTGCCAGAATTTGTTGCACGATGTCTTTATTCCTTTATGGAAACAAGTTCCGTGTTACATTTCCGTGTAATGTCCTCAGACATTTATGCATATTAGTTTTATGTCTCATGTAATATTAGTCCAAACAAGAACTTTTTTGCACTGCAATTGTCCTGACACATTTATGGAAACAAGTTATGTTACATTCACAGATTAATGTCCTCACAAAGCTGTTCAATCAAGCCCTATACTGCATTAAAAACACAATTTCTTTCTCTCTGAATAGCAGAACGAGACATAGTGTGCCATTTTTATGTAAATTCAATGAAAATTATAGGGAGATTGAAAGGGATATTTAAAAATTATCTGATATTCCCATGTCACAAAGAATGCTGCAATGCATTGCATGATGCAAGCCAGACTGCTAGGTGCGTTCTGCTTTTGCTAGTTTATATTATGTGATTTTTTTTATTTTAACACCACCGCAAAACAAAAGTTGTATAGGTCGGCCACTTGGTCCGTTGGTCCATCTGTTTAAAATTTTGCTGATCAAAGCACTTCTTGTTTTTTAGAGATGCTTTTAATATTTCACACACATATAGGTCTTGTGAATGTAAAACGCCCTGTTTTCATGTGCCAGAAACTATGATGCCATGGTTACAGCACATGGCAATAAATCAAATAGAAATATTGCAGATCAAATTACTTCCTCATATTGAGCAATGGTCAGGAGATTCAGTACACACATGGAGGATGGGGTATTATAATCATCTTTACTTTGGTATATTTGTATGCCTCCGCCCACCGAAGGTGGTGCCGGAGGCATTATGTTTTCGGGTTGTCCGTCCGTCCCGTTTTCGTTCTCGCGATAACTTTAGAACCAATAAAGGTATCAACTTGAAACTTTTGTCATGTATGCTTATGGAAGGGACAATGATCTGATTAGATTTTGGAGTCATGAGGTCAAAGGTCAAAGGTCACAGAGGTCATTGAATACATGAAAATGCACTTGTCTTGTGATAATTCAAGAACGATTCCACATATCAACTTTAAACCTTGGTCATGTATGCAGATGGGAAGCCCAATGATCCATGCAAATTTTTAGGGTCATGAGGTCAAAGGTCAAAGGTCATAGAAGTCATGAAATACATAAAAATGGCTTTTTCTAGGGATAACTTAAGAGCAGTTTGACATATCAGCTTGAAACCTTGGTCGTGTGTGCAAATGAAAAGCACACTGATGCAAGCAAATTTTGGAGTCATAAGGTCAAAGGTCACAGCGGTCATTTTATACATGAAAATAGTCTGTTCTCGCTAAAACTTATAATACGTTTAACGTATGAACTTGAAACATTGGTCATGTATTCATATAGGAGGGATAATGATCTGATAAGATTTATGGATCTATTAGGTAAAAGGTCACAGGGGTCATTGAATACAGGAAAACAGACCATGGTTTAGCTTATCAACTTGAAACCTTGGTCCTTTATGCAGATGGGAAGTACAATTATCCATAGGCCATGAGGTCAAAGGTCACATAGGTCATTTTATACACGGAAATGGCCTTTTCTCGCAATAGCTCATAATTTGTTTGACAAATAACTTTTATCATGCGAGGATATGGGAAGGACAAGGGTCTGATTAGATTTTAGATTTATGAGGCCATCGGTCACATATGTCATTGAAAACATGAATGTTCAATTCATGTTCTTGCTATTATTAGTATGCAGTATAAAGGAAGTCATGTGTTAATCTTATTCAGTTAAATATTTATTTCTGATTGCGTGATATAAATGGGAAAGATAATTCTGATCACGTGATGGCGGAGGCATAAATTCCGACTGCGTGCGGTCGAGGATTCATCTAGTTAATCCAGAAAATAATGTTGTTCTCTCTCTCTCTCTCTCTCTCTCTCCAGAGCTCTCAAATGAGAGGGATGGACCTCCTGGGTCTATGGAGCCAAAAAGTAGCCATCCTGTTGCAAAAAGGTCAAAAGGTAATAATAGCATGTAGTTCAAACTTTGCTTGTAGTCCTATTTAAACCCTAATTTAGCCGGGTTTTGGGGGTCTTCTTTTGCCAGAGGTTGATTTAACTCCCCCCCCCCCCTCCCATCTTCAGATCTTGGCTACTGGTTGCACGATCACTGCAAAAATCTGCATGCAAGTAGAATATAATGTAACTACGCAATCTAAGAGTTAACATCACAAGCTATGTGCATGCCGAATTTCGGCGCGATTGCGCGATCAACGGCCGAGATCAGAAGGGGGGACCCAATAACCCCCCCCCCCCCCCCATGGACTGAAGTGATCGAAATATCCCAATGGGATTAGGGTTAATTGCATGTACATGTTTGATATGTGACAATGTACTTTAGAAGGAATTGTGAAAATTTCTTGATTTAGATGACTTTTTGCATCACATGAAGTTGTCCTTAGGTTATCAAATATGCACATGCTTTCTTTTCACTCTCCTATAAAATCTCTTTTCATTTACAGCGGAACGCATTACCTGGACAGCAGCACAACACCATGCTGTAGACACATTTTCAAAAGAAATTACAGGACATTCCGAATTCCAGGGAAAGAAGAATGTGAGGAATGTAGAAATAAGTATCCTGAACTTGCAACACTACCCTGGACTAAGATTAAATACAGGGTTTATAACATTATTAAACAAAACAAACTAAAATCCTATTGAATCCATCTTACCTCAATGAAGAAAAGTGTACACACACACATGTATGTATATAAATATGATTTATTGCACTCCATGCAAATCATGAGGTTTGATTCAATCACAAGCAAAAACAAATAAATGAATAAAATGATAATAATTCAATTGTATACTATGCAAACATTCAAATAATTTATATAAATGTCAGATAATACAAAGCAAAAAGGTTTGTAATTAATATGGATCACCTTGATAAAAGTTATAGCTGCAAGAATGGTAATTTGTATAACTGCTGTTGAATTGTCAAACCATGAACAAACTTTCTACACACAATCGGAAATTGCACTTGAGAAGAAAAAAAACGATACAATAAATTCATTGCTGAAATAAAACAAACATAAACATTCCTTTATAAGAAATATGGATGTGATTGACATTCAATCTGCATCGTACAGCATGGACTGCAATGTATTATAACAAAGAGAATATGCGTGTGTGTCAGCATTTCTTTTATAAGCAAAGTGTATAAAGGTGGAAAGTGTGCACATGTGCAGAATACTCCATCCACATTTTATAGCTGTACTGTGCATTACTTGAAATTAATATTTTTTCCTGACCTATTTGATTTCTATCCCAAGTTATGTGTAAGAGATCAAAATAAATATTCCATATTTCCACGATATTCCAGGAGGAAATCTCCCTTTGAAAAGGGTTTATTTGTCACAGGTCCATGTCCTAAAACTGGAGAAGGAAAATATTTTGTTAAAGTTAAAAAAAAAAGTAAAAAAAAAAAAAAAACCTTATGGCAAAATCATGGTCATACGAAGCAAATGTGTGTGTGTGGGGGGGGGGGGGGGGGGTTACCTCCAGAAAATGCTTAAAATTGACGTTTCTTTTTATTACTGAATGTCTGCACAATCGACCACAACCAAATCTTTCAATATCACATTAACAAATGCAGAAACATGCTGCTAATTTAAGGATTTTTTACAATCTTAGTGATTATATTCATTTTGAAAATTCTGTGTTTAATGATCGATAAATGATCACAATGATCAGACTTTGTGTAGATTATCATTTAAGAAAAATGAAGAGGTGATTTCTGAGATTTTGTACATGTAAGAGAAAAGTTATTTATGCATTATGAATGACTAACTGCATGTATGTCAAGTTCCTGTTGTCAGTGTTGAGTTTTATTAAAAACAAATCTTTGAAAATGATCTACATGTGTACTTGAAGTGTTTAAATTTGCTTGTATCTGAATGATGTAAAGTGGAACCTTGTTGAGATAAACTCCTCATGATCGCTAAAAGAGATAAATACCTGTGCAAAATAAACAGATAAAGTTTATATGTCCTCATAAGTTTATACAAACAAAGACTGTGTTTCATTTCCAACACATGTTGTCCTCGTACATTTATGCAAACTTGAGCTGTGTTACCTATTCAATACAATGTCCTCATAAGTTTACGCAATCTTGATCTGTGTGAAATACCTGTGCAAAATAAACAGATAAAGTTTATATGTCCTCATAAGTTTATACAAACAAAGACTGTGTTTCATTTGCAACACATGTTGTCCTCGTACATTTATGCAAACTTGAGCTGTGTTACCTATTCAATACAATGTCCTCATAAGATTGCGCAAACTTGGTATGTGTGAAATACCTGTGCAATAAGTCCTCGTGTGTTGCTGCAAACTTGATTTGTGTGATGTCCTCATAAGTTTACAGAAACTTTATCTGTGTTGATATGTCCTCATAGGTTTATACAAACAAAGACTGTGTTACATTTGTAACGCATGTTGTCCTCGTACATTTATGTAAACTTGAGCTGTGTTACCTATTCTATACAATGTCCTCGTAAGTTTACGCAATCTTGATCTGTGTGAAATACCTGTGCAAAATAAACAGATAAAGTTTATATGTCCTCATAAGTTTATACAAACAAAGACTGTGTTTCATTTGCAACACATGTTGTCCTCGTACATTTATGCAAACTTGAGCTGTGTTACCTATTCAATACAATGTCCTCATAAGTTTACGCAATCTTGATCTGTGTGAAATACCTGTGCAAAATAAACAGATAAAGTTTATATGTCCTCATAAGTTTATACAAACAAAGACTGTGTTTCATTTGCAACACATGTTGTCCTCGTACATTTATGCAAACTTGAGCTGTGTTACCTATTCAATACAATGTCCTCGTAAGTTCACGCAATCTTGATAAGTGTGCGTGGTTGACCTCTGTCGAATGCTGAAATATGACATTTTAACATTAGAGAAAGCCACCTCAGACGTATACCAAAACAAGAATCATGTCCTCTGATGTATAGGTCTATGATAAATGTTTAAACTTAAAAAAACGCATTCAATGTTGTGAGCGTCCTTTAAAGCATTCTCTTTTTTAGGGAGTCTTTTCACCATTATGTCCATTAGAGCTAGATAACACCTGTCCTCAAAAGAAGGTAGTTTACCATGGTCCTCGGACATAATAGGCGTGTATGTACGTGTGTGTGTGTGTGTGTGTGTGCGTGTGCGTGTGTGTGTGCGTGTGTGTGAGTGTGTATGCGTTTGTTCAGGGGGAGGGGGTTTGTTCAGGGGTAGGGGGTTGGGGCAGCCCTATGACGCAAATCAGGGCCATCAAATCATGGTTACTTTAGCGAATTGTATGCATTACAGTTAGCTCTGGGGGCGTTTCATGATACATTATTAGTCGGTGTTTTTCACCGACTAATATCATTTTCACCGACAATTTAGTCAGCACTGACTACATTTGACCAATCAGAGGCCTGGAAAATAGTCGGTGACAAAAGAATTGTTGGTGAACATGATATTAGTCAGTGAAAACCACCGACTAATTGTTTCATGAAACGCCCCCCAGGTGTTTTGTTTCCGTAAGGCCAATGTCTAGATATGCCACTGCTCCTTCTCCATTTTACCCTGCAATGTCCTTCACGGAGCTCTACATAAATAATGATGATGATAACAACAATAATGATATTAAATAATAATAACAAAAGTGCAAGCGGATAGAAATTTAGTAATTGATTGTCTCTTTTGTATAAAATAAACCCATGAAGGTATATGCATGAATATTTAACCATGATAAGTTAAGTGCTATACGTAGGCCCAAACCGATTTCGAACAAACCCATTAGCATGGTGAATTGTAGTCCAGATTCTGTCCGTTTTTATATATTTTGTTTATTCTTCAATCATCTCAGCTCTCTTCCCTTGCACGCATCCCACACAGATCGCGCGACCTCGAAAATACACCCGTCGAAGACGACTGACTCTGGTTTAGCGTTGAGCGTATAATGTTTTCTCAGCTGATTGGGCGCCCGACACCAGGCAGTGGGCAAGGGCAGCGTCTCACGAAACCGTCCGAAGTACAAGTACAACGAAATCCCATTGAAATGCGTGTTAAACTTAATACACGCATTTCAATAGGATGTCGGTGAACTTGTACTTATGACAGTTTCGTGAGACGCTGCCTAGGTGTTCAAATATTATTCCGCCTGGACAGCATCAATATCCTAAACTTCTTCATCCTACTTATGAGTGTCCTTGAACGATTCCAGTAAAATGGTATTAATTATAATAGTATTGATGATGATATTAATAACTAGTGCAACCGAATGGAAAAGTGATAACCAGTTGGCTACTCCGCGCGAAATAAAGCTTTGAAGTATCCGAATAGTGAACTTTAATGCATGTGGATAAATATTTCATTGAATTTCATCAGGGTTTTGATCTCGTAAAGATAGGTTGGCATTCAGGAGCTAGTTACAAGCATGTTGGCTCGAATGCAATCAAAACTGAAACCCTATGCCGATTTTGGCGTCATAATATTTTATATTTTGAGCAGCAATAACTTAAAGATAAAGACCAGTTATGTGACCAGTTCCAGTGATTGCATTGTGAAAGAAACGTTGTGAAATCGATCAAAAAAGGTTGATCATCCAGCATAGATGTACTGCAAGGTTCTGGAATCATCAAAAGGATAAGAAATTTGGCCCAGCCTTCATAAAGTTGCAAGCACTGTGCACAGAAAGATGTATTTGGGACTACGCACACGTGCGCGACACGTGCGTTTTTATCTCTCACATCCCAATAGATAAACTAATTTACCAAATATATTGATTAGTAGGCGGTTTCCCGGCAAAATTGTTATCATCATGTATTATTCAAAACATATTCTTTCACATGATTGGTAATAAGAGCTTCCATTTCATTTTTTGAAATTGGGGCGTTTCCAATACGGGTCTTTACCTTTAATAATGTATGATCCACATTTCATGACCTGAATGATCATTGCTTTGTCTAAAGCAGTCGGGTATGTTAACAAGCTATTCGTGTTAACAAAAATTGGTTCAAGGAGGTAGTCAATGAGCAGCGTCGAAATGGAATGTGCGTGCAATCATTTTAACCACATATGCATGTGCATTTTGGCAATAACAACCGTCAATTTCTCGACTTTATACTAATATATGGTAGACCCATCTTATAAAACAAATAATACTTGTTTTAGCTAGTGCATTATTGATTTGCACTTCACGAGACGGACAATGAACTCGACATGTCTCGTGCATTATTCAACTGTGACTTAACCTGCTTGCATATTCACCAATGCACTCGCAAAATAATTTGCATTATTTGTATGATTATTACATGCCCCCAAACAAAGGTAAAATAATTTGCTAAAACGACATTACGAACAGTCAAACGAAACATGGACAAGAAACAAAAAAGTGGGGTGAGGGAAGGTGGACGAAGAACATGCTATGTTTAATAATGATGATGATAAACTTGATGTCATCTGAAGACACGAATGTCTCATTCCATTTTCTTCAGAGACGAACCTCGATGAGAAATTGGTTTTGACATCTTTATAATTGCAGCAAAAGAACTAATTTCTCACGAGTGAGCGACATCGGAGAACCGAGATTCATTGAAGGGTCATTTATGTGCAATTGCGGGGAAAATGATGGAAACGAAAACGTCTTCTAATTCATTTAATGTATCGCACTCTGTGCAAGAATGACTTTTATGCGCCTTCTGGTTTTCAGTAATGGATTGCACGATGTTGGGTGTGATTATTAAAAAAAAACCTTTCTCTCTTTCTATCTCTCTCTCTCTCTCTCTCTCCCTCCCTCTCTCTCCCTCTCTCTCTCATACTCCCTCTCTCTCTCTCTCAACCCCCCTCTCTCTCTCTCTCTCTCTCTCAACCCCCCTCTCTCTCTCTCTCTCCCTTTCTATGTCAGTGTCCTTCCGAACGATCATCACTCTTAGAAATCATGGCCACGATCATTAAAAGGCATCTAAAATGTAGATTATTTCAACCTTTAGAGTGCTTATCTCATCAAAAATTCATTCGACTTGTCGAATCGATGATTAGGAAAGTTTATATATATAAATGTACGTGTTTTCTCTACGAAATATTGGTTGTCAAGAAAGAAGATTGCATGTATATTTATCTTTATTTTTTCTAGAGGCTCTTTTTCGAGTAGGCTTAGGAAATTCCAAATCTTTATTTTTTTAGTACGGATGAGAATATCTGTGTGTATGATTTGACCGATTGAATAAATTCTACCGTTTTAAACTTCGTAGTGGATAACAAAGAAAGGCCTCGGACTACCGTTTATGTGTTTATTAAGCTTGAATTGAAGTATATTTTTAACAATAAAGGAGGAAGGTTTGCAAATCGTCCCGTTATTCCTTGATAATGACGTCGACGTCATTTCATGAATTTCATAAGTGCCTAAATTGATGCTTTATTGAATGATATATTATTGTAGTTTGCATTGATCTGATTTGATATGATTTTGATTTAGTTATATTTCGTTTCAATATGAACATGGTTAAGAATTTTTAAAGTAAATATAACTTCAATAATCATGACAGAAAACAATGTAATACGATTGTTTAATAGACAAAAATATAGATATTGAAGAACTGAAAATGATAAGAGAACATTGGTGAACTAAATGTACACAGTGATCGGGAACATGAGCGAATGCGATGTCGTTATATAGGCACGTGTTCAAAATATATACATATATTTCCCCCCCCCCCCCTGTTGTTATAATTTCTTAGGCTTCCTTTTGAGGATTGGTGTGTTAGTATCCTTTCTCCTTTGAATCTTTGGTAATTTGTTTGGATTTAATATATGCTTGAGCAAGGCACTAGAGCTATATTGCTCCTCTCCACTCAAATGGGTACCGGGTTAGATGCGTGAAGGTCCGTGTGATTGGATTAGCATGTGGAAATCCCGTAGTTTATTTGTGTGCTCCCCGGGGAGTGGAGAATGTCCTCTGTATTGTGCGGAATAGAAATTGAATCCAGTGACTTGCGTAATGATAATACATTAATAAATCGTTATTTTTGTTTTTATCATTATCATTATTATTATTAGTATAATTATTATTTTAAGTATTATTAATATTATTACTATTTTTAATTCATTTTTTAAAATTCATTTGTATATTTGTTCTTTTCAGTTCACTGCGCTACTAAGAATGAAAGTGCACCCAAGATGCTGGCTGAAACACTTGCTAAGAATTACGGATCGCCCTCCATTAGGCCGGTCAACAATGCATCAAAAACAGTGGTTGTCTCATTTCGAGTTCTGATCTCACAAGTCATCTTATTCGTGAGTATATGATAAAAGATCTGATATGACGAGAGAAAGGGATTAGAGCGGTGGAGGGAAAGAGAGAAAGAGAGGGAGGGGAGAGGGGAAGGGAAGGGAATGAGAGAGAGATTGGAAGAAAATGAGAGAGAGAGAGAGAGAGAGAGAGAGAGAGGGGGGGAGGGAGTTGGGTGAGGGAGAGAGAGAGACAGAATTGAAACAGAGAGGTCTATAGAGAAAAAGACAGAGCGAGTGGATTAACATTAAATGTAAAAAATGAAATGAGTATCGCTTGCGTGAAACTAATCAAATTAATCAAATATATATACCCCCACGTAGACCAAGTGTCCTTTTTTCACGCTCTTAATTAATTCTGCCAATAAATAAGAGAGAGAGAGAGAGAATCAGATACTACACGTAGACCAACTAGTTTTCTACCTTTCACGCTCGTAATTAATTCTGCCAATAAATACGAGAGAGAGAGAGAGAGAGAGAGAGAGAGGGGTGAGGGATAGAAAGAGATATACAGAGAAAAAGACGGAGCGAGTGGACTAACATATTTAAATGTAAAAATTGAAATAAGTATCGCTTGCATGAAATTAATCAAAGTAATCAGATATAATATATAAAAACTCCACGTAAACCTAGTTTCTTACCTTTCACACTCATAATTCTGCCAATAAATATTGCATTAAGTAGAACAATATTTCTACCAGCTGCATTAAATTGATTTGATGATTTGACATGTTTGTATTTGCAATTCACTGCATTGTGTATATTGCGCAATAGTCATGAAGTTGGGCATGACTCATTTTATACAGCAAATATTTGCGTTGGATATTTGGACAATTAATTGCAAATAATTTCGAAAATATACATGTTGATAGTCATGGGAACGCATGTGTGTCCAGGCTACATCCGTTTGTGTTGAACTGCATAAAGTCGAAGCTGAAGAAGCGCTCTCGCGAAAAAGCGCAATGGAGCAGCGTTATCATTTAAATACAAGTCTCTTTAATTACAATGTACATTTATCATCCGAATCATTTGAAATTCAATGTGGATATTAACCTACCAGCGAGCAGATAAATCATAAATCTGTCTTGCGAGAATTGAATTTGTAATTAAATCCCCGCTGTGTGTTGAAAACTCATTCGGAATCTATTTAAGATATTGTACAATATAGATAGGGGAGTCATATTTCTTTATAGAATGATCTAGCATGCGTCGAGAAATGTGCATGTGTACCAATACAACATCATGAATGTCAACACAGGAGTGGCTCAGGGTTCAATCCTTGGGCCCCTCCTGTTTACAGCCATGATAAACGATCTTCCCACGCATATAAGTAAAGGGAATGTTTATATGTACGCGGATGACACAACAATATCCGTCCATGGAAACAGTCCAACAGATATTGAAATCCAGCTTAACAATGTAATGCAAGAAGTAAATGAATGGGTTGACAGAAACAAGTTGATCCCCAATCCAGAGAAAACCAAAGTCATGCTAATAGGCTCAAGACAAAAATTACATCGGTTTTCAAATCTAAAGTTGCATGTTACATTAAAAGGTAAATCTGTTGAATGTGTTGATGAATCTAGATGTCTAGGTGTAACCATAGACTCTAGCCTTGACTTTAAGATACATACTGAAAAGGTGTCTTTAAAGGTGAAACAAAAGCTAGGTGTAATAAAAAGATTAAAGACATATTTTTCTACTAAACAATTATCTGATATATATTGGGGGTACATTATACCCCATGTTCTTTACTGCTGTAATGTATGGTCGCGCAGAAGTGTCGGGAATTTCAATACCCTAAACAAAAAGAGCTGCCTACATAGTATCAAATAAGTTATGGGATATACCGTCCCTGGATGTATTACAGTCACTATGCTGGCCAAATCTTGATAAGTTGTTCTGGAATACAATGTGCTGCTTAATGTATAAATTTGTAAATAGAATAACACCCGGAATCGTTCATGACAGATTTATACTCGTCGACGATGTTTCAAAACGAATAACTCGCAACACAGATAAGAAGATGCTGCGATTGCCAAAATGTAAAACAGAATTTTTTAGGAAGTCATTCATTTATTCAGGGAGTGAAATTTGGAATGAGCTTCCACTTGAAGTTAAAGAAGCACAGAGCCTAGCAGTCTTCACTATGAACATGATGGACAATGAAAGCAGACAAAATATACAGTTCCTCAGGTAGACAAAGGAACATCCCTTCACTGCTATTATGTAAAAATGTGTAGAACAGGTGAATATGCATGTGACACCTGTTCTACACATTTTTACATAATAGCAGTAAAGGGATGTTCCTTTGTCTACCTTAGGAACTGTATATTTTGTCCGCTTTCATTGTCCGTCATATTCACAGTGCTTTAAGAGAGCTCTACAAGAAATTCTCACATTATACGGTGTTCATTCTGCATAGTTGATTTTTATCATTATCTATTCAGTTTTCTGTCATGTTACTTGACTCCATTACCATACAATGCTTAATTTATTTTCATAGTTGATTTTATCATTATCTTTTCAGTTTTTGTCATGATACTTGACTCCATTACCATACAATGCTTAATTTATTTTCATATTTGATTTTATCATTATCTATTCAGTTTTTGTCATGTTACTTTACTCCATAACCATACAATGCGTACAATTATCATTACTTAACTGTTGTTCTTTTGTGCAATATTATATTCAGTTAATGTATTCCTATGTTTTGGTTTAATTTATTTTTCATAGTTGATTTTTTTCATTATCTATTCAGTTTTCTGTCATGTTACTTGACTCCATTACCATACAATGCTTAATTTATTTTCATAGTTGATTTTATCATTATCTATTCAGTTTTTGTCATGATACTTGACTCCATTACCATACAATGCTTAATTTATTTTCATAGTTGATTTTATCATTATCTATTCAGTTTTTGTCATGTTACTTGACTCCATTACCATACAATGCTTACAATAATCATTAATGAACTGTTGTTCTTTCGTGTAGTATTATATTCAGTTAATGTATACCCATGTTTTTGTTTAATTTATTTTCATAGTTGATTTATCATTATCTATTCAGTTTTTGTCATGTTACTTGACTCCATTACCATACAATGCTTAATTTATTTTCATACTTGATTCTATCATTATCTATTTTGATTCAGTTTTGTCATGTTACTTGACTCCATTATCATACAATGCCTACAATTATCATTAATTAACTGTTTTCCTTTTGTGTAGTATTATACTCATTTAATGTATTCCCATGTTTTTGTTAACTTATTTTTGTAGCTGATTTTTATCATTATCTAAACCATACATACATTGTGTTAAATGTTTAATAATCCGATATTGTACAGTTCTAATCGTAATTCATGTATTTTTTCATGTGCTGTTTTTATAATCAGGGCTCTGTGGAAGACCAGGTTCTTATTTTTGTATACTGAACAGACTACCCTCAAAAAAGAAGTGAAATAAATAAATAAATAAATAAATACAACTACAAATATACAGACACATCCTTGTTTTATTATTTTCTTGTAGAAAGCTACTATACGAAATGAATACGATTAACCAAGAAAACTTCTGCTGACAAACCATTGAATAACGCTTTGCCCTTTGCACACGAAGCGTATGACGGAAGAATCCGTCAGTGGCTTGCGTTGTCTCTGATGCGCCATATGAGAACGACATCGCACAGAAAGTAAATGCAAACTAAACACTACAAACAATAGTTTGATTTACAGGTATACGAACCCCTTTCTTTAAATCATTAGCGAAGGGAATGACGCAATCGCAGTGACGCCTCGTATACAGTGAGAATGAGTTTCAAATTACCATTGCGATGCGATGCAATTTTGGATGAAACTCTTTAGTGCTAGGTGGGTAAAAAAAAATAATTCATGTAAGCGTAAAGGAAATAATTTATGTATGCGTTTAGTGCTGATACGTGAGGCCGATTGGCGTAATATTGACGGATTTATTGCACACGAGAGTTCACTTTGATTGCGTCATTAGGCCTACATGTGTTAATCAAACCTATGAAATAAATGATGTCAGTTACCTTTAAAGTCAAAGCAGTGTCGGCCCTACTGATTTTGCACTCTCAAATGGACGATTTCACCAAGTCAAAGACCGCGCCACTCGCTGATTCAAGCTTACGTCGAGTAATAAATGACGCCTTGAATTCAACGTGCATAAAGAGAAGTGTATACTTGATCATGCCTAGAATTTAGGGGGATCTTGGATCTTGTTAGGTTTATGTTGGAGTAAAATATATTCTGACAAGATTACTTCTACCCTATATCGGGAATCCGTTTAAATGAAGCAAGTTCCGTTGCGTACAGTCTGAAATTGTATTGACACAGCTCACTAAAAATTAAGATTTCAAATCTTGTCCCAAAAATAATTATCAAATATTTCTTTCTTTTTAGGATGAACGGAAACAGCATGTCCAGCTAAGCGGATGGAGAAGGCAGGTGAGTGACGGATGCCCCGCTCGGGATCTTTGGGGATTGGCGGATTTAGGGAGGGGCACGGGGCACAACGGCTCCTTTCTTCTGTTAAAACCAGAATGGCATACCTTAAAGGTAAAGACCAGTATTGGAAACGCCCCAATTTAAAAAAATGAAAAGGAAGCTCTTATTTCGAATCATGTGAAAGAATATGTTTTGACTAATACATGATGATAAAAAAATTGCCGGGAAACCGCCTACTATTTGATATATTTGGTAAATTAGTTTATCTACATGGTCTGTGAAAGATAAACGCACGTGTCGCGCACGTGTGCGTATAGTCCCATATACATCTTTCTGTGTACAGTGCTTGTAACTTTACGAAGACTGGGCCATATTTCTTATCATTTTGATGATTCCAGAACCTTGCAGTACACACCAATACTTATATACTAGATGATCAACCTTTTCTGATCGATTCCACAACGTTTCTTTCACAATGCAATCGCATTACCAGTACTAAAGTTTATCTTTAAGTACAATCAAAAGAAAAAAGTGTCCCTTTCAGATTTGTTCCCCCCCCCCCCCACCCAGTTTTGAAAAACCTGAATCCGCCCCTTTTATCAAGTCACTGATCTTGATACTACCATGTCAGATACTACTACTTCATATCCGTTAAAGCCCTTCTAACGTGTTGGGAGGCCCACAAATTGATGGCAAAACTTCACTTAAATTGTATCATTATGTGAAAGTTGATGTCATTTCAAACACATTTCTGCAAAGATTTTCCAAACAAATGTGTTTGAAGTCGAATATTGATGAAAGAACACAACAGAAAACCCAAATTATGTATTCTTTTATCAAATTTTTCTTTAAACTCATTCTTTGTGGGGAAATCTTTGCAGAAGAGTGTCTTAAATGCCTTTTTCACGTTATGATACAATTTAAGTGAATTTTTGCCGTAAATTTATTTGGAGAATTTGGGGCTCTTAATATTTTAGAGGGGCTTAAGTATATTATCAAATCCTCATGCAATTTTATTGTAATACAACAGACATTCTGATTAGTTGATTATGTAGTTACTATAGGAACAGTGGTGTATTACACTTTGGAACCATCATAAATTAAACAAATCGACTAAACCTTTCTGAAATTCACAAACATTGCATCCAGTTAATAAGTTGATTGGACAGAGAATGATTTTTTTTCTCAAATTATTTGAAAATGATGTATTAGGTTTAATATTTGGAGCAGAGTTTATTACGTAACATTCTTAAGATGCATTCGAACTCATTGCACGATATACCAAAGATAAAGCAAATATATGTTTGTTAATAAATGGAAATCGGCTGAGAGGAAGAATTATGATGGTGATTATGATGATTGTTTTAATTGTTCATCATAGGACTGGCGAGATGAGTTTCTACAATGGGACCCCGATGATTACGGCGGATTGAAGACGATAACATACAGTAAGGATGGCATCTGGAAACCAGATATCACCCTCATAGAAAAGTAAGGAGTAAAAATAAATTACTATTAGACTTATACACCAGTCACAACGCCAAACTAGGGTGGGGGAAATAAAGACAGAATGAGAGAAAGAGAGAGAGTGAGTGAGTGAGAGAGAGAGAGAGAGAGAGAGAGAGAGAGAGAGAGGGGGAGAAAGAGAGAGAGAGAGTGAAGGAGGAAAACATGGGGAACTAATGATAACGACATGCTCTGAGATGAGTAGAAAATGGTAGTAGTGGAAGATAGTCAACCTGATATGCCTGCCATATACAACTGTTAAACGTTCCCTTAACTCTTCGCAGTGTCAACCAGGACTTCATCAATGAATTCAGCGCCGATGTCATCGTCACGTACGACGGCAGCGTTACGTGGTTCACCCCCATCATCCTCACGAGTGCCTGCATGGTCGGGGTTCGATACTTCCCTTTCGACTTCCAGACGTGTCAGATGACCTACATGTCGTGGGCTTACGATTCCAACGGCATTTACCTACAGTTACCGACCAACGAAGATCCTAATCAGGTATCCTCATCCTAATCCTAATCTTAATCCAGATCTTAATCTTAATCCTTATTTCAATTATAATCTTTTGTCGCATTATATTCTAAATCCTTATATCAGATGTTATTCTAGTCTCAATCACACTATTTTTGTCTTAATCCTTATATCAGATGTTGTTTTAGTCTCAATCTCAATTTTATTCATAATCCTAATCCGACCCTACAACCAATTATAATCCTACTTCTTATCTCGATCCAAATTAGTAATCATATTTCAATTATAATCTTGGTCAAAATATATAGAAAGAATTGTAACCGGGTCGAAGTCCGGCCATACTTTTGAAGCTTCTTGCAAGAGGAGACAACAATGAGAAAAGACCGTTTGAAATCCTCTTTCTACTCGATCTGAAATGAAAACGTGTTCAAAATATGCTAAGAAAACAGACTGCTTTTGGGAAGAAACATTTTTAAAGGGGATATTAAGCACCATAATATTACACGCTTACACTGAATCTTTTCAGGGAAAGAGACGCGACAGCTAAATATTTTGTGAAATTACGCGGATATTTGATCACTACGCTTCTGTAGAGTGCATTTAGTATGTTATTGTTATCGCGTCGATCGTTATCATTAATTAATTTACAAACATATCGACGAGAATGTTATCGCCTAGCTACCATCATTAGTAGCCCATTATGTGTACACCTGAATAGTGAGATGCAGCCGCAGCCGCTAATGCCACCTGCATCGGGCAACGATTCGAACATAACACTTTTAAATCGAAAAATATAAATGTATTAAAGTTAAATAAGCAAATGCGGGTGGATACAGGTTTTTATAGTGAAGGGAGTGGAGGGGAGGGGGGGGGGAACAACTCCGAAATAAGGAAATACCAACAGAGTGCCTTTTAGTCAGCTAAAACTAAAAATGGGTATACATGCTTTTTCTATGTGTGCTTAATTGTTTTTTAAAGGGGCTTGTAGCCCACCCAACCAATTACCCAGTTGAACCATAGTATAACGGTGCCCTCCCTGCGGTTAACCCTCGTACAGTTCACATAATTATAAGAGTGAACGTAGACATTTAACACATGGCACACACATATCATTAGGCAATGCAGGACATCAATCTACATTTGCCATTCTTGACCCAGGGGAGTGTTCCACCATGGTGTTACTAAAGCCTAAGATTAACTTTAAGTTGGATTTAACTATTGCAAGCCGTCCATGCCACTGTTTCCTCTCACCATTATGATCTTTAAAACAAATTTCCTTCAATAATGAATTATCAAAAAAATGTAAATTCTGCAGATTTTTTACCATGATTTGTACGTCCCTTGAGAGACCCATGCCAGTAAATGGTGAGAGCAAACAGTGCGTGAACAACCTGCTATAGTTAAGTCCAAATTGATTGGACTCCATGAAAGAACAGAGCCATTAGTGGCTCTGAAATGGACTATCCGACCGTTTCATCATTCTATTATTGTTATATTATATTATTGTTTTTGTATGATGATTTTCGGAAATAAACAAACAAACAAAACAAAAAGCAAAACAAACACAAAATTCCATCTATTAAAGGGTAGTCTTTGTGAAACACCCCTAGGTGTAGTAAGTGATGGGTACTACCTGAAGCCATACATGGGAACATATCCCTTAATGAATGCTCTCATCACCCCATAGGATATCTTTTCTAAAGCCAGGGTAATTTAAAGAGAGGTACTATGTAAACCCATTTAGAAATCCTTTGGAGAGAGATAAACGGGCACGAAGTATATTTATCAATCATGTTTAATTTTGTTCGTCACAGAACATATTTCTCCAAAATGGAGTCTGGTCGCTACAAAAGGCGGTTGCTCAACAAAAAAACGAAACTTACGCCTGCTGCGAGACTCCATACTCCCAAATCGTCTACGAGCTAATTCTCGAAAGATCTTACGGGTTCTATGTGCTCAACATCGTTCTTCCCAGTGGCCTCCTCGCCTTCGTCAACTGCCTCGTCTTCCTCCTCCCGCCGGAGTCGGGGGAGCGACTCCAGTTTGCCGTGTCCAACCTCCTGGCCGCCATCTTGTTTCAGCAGCTCATCGGCGGTATCATGCCGCCTCTTGGCGATGAATTACCTCTTCTAGGTAATGAAGATAAATGTCGCAATGATGATATCAATGGATGCGCATATAACTAGGGATATGCACATCTTTCGTTGATCAATACTTTTGATGCCGGGTTGTTGTTTTTTGTTTATTTTTTTAAAAATAATTTTTATATGTTTTTATCAATAATATATATTTTTTTAAATCAACATAAATCAACAACAAAAAATCAACAACAATTATTAAAAAAAAACTAAATAATAATAATTATAAGAAAATCGGTGTTTTTAATGTAACATGCGATGGGCCCTCATTTATACGGACCACGATGTATTGTAGGCCTACTGTTATGTATTTGTATTTGAATGTATAGAATTATCGTTTTCTTAATTCTCATTTTATTTTTGTTTGAATGAAATAACACAAGCATATTCATTGTATTTCTTTAATTGTACTTCAACTTCTTGATTTCATTGTATTTGTACAATTATTGAATATTGTAACTCTATTTATTTTCTTCTTCTTTTTCAAAAAATCCGTAAACCTAACACCATTCTGCCATCCTGCTGCAAAGATATGTTATTATAAATCTTGAATTTTGAATTTTATTATTATTATTACTATTTTTTTTTTAATACCCAGGTATGTTCTTCGTCTACATGATCCTAACAAACTGTTTCGTTCTTGGTCTGAGTATCTGCATCCTACGGTTCTACCATCAGCGAGGGGACAAGGCAGTGCCCATGTTTCTCCGTCGGATATGCTTCTTAAAGAGGGGCAAGGAGAAATCGACGTTGAAACGCCATGCTAATCTCAAGGTAACGGAGTCATCACGAGCAAATCGAGGGTGCCGAAACACCCCCTCCTTAATTGTGGAAAAGAGGGAAACAATAGAAGAAAAGGAAAAGAAAAGGGGGTAGAAAGAAGGAAAAGGGGCACAATAAATTTAGAGGTAATGTCAAGATGGGTTCCCGGTCATGGTATAATGATATCGTATTCATAAATGCGGAGAAAATCGAAAAAAATGAATGATAAGGAGAACGTTTTTTTAATGGGTGCAATATTAAGCTTGTCGCAGATTCAGGGTTCTGTGGCCACGGGTGGGGGGGGGGGGCAATATTATTAATCCCAATCTCCGATAGGCAAATTAAAAAAAAAATGTTGCAAATGTCTTTGAATGTTGGATAATGATGACGCCTGGCTATGTTTGTAACTGTCTTTAAAGGCATCGTTCAACAAGATGAATGATCCTACGTGTTATCAGTGTCTGTGGTATGGTGTAATATTCAAGCTCTACAAAAAATTCGCTTCAAAATGATCATGAAGTGCCTCAAAAAAGTGAAAATCTTTGAGTGACCGGTTTTACCATAGTTATTTTTGACAAAAGACTGCAGTGTTATGTTCTTCAACAATTTTAAATCTGAGATGCATGGCCCTACGTGTTATCAGTGTCTGTGATATGGTGTAACATTGAGCCCTAAAAAAATTGCGCTTCAACATGACCATGAAGTGCCTCAAAAAAATAAAAATGTTTGAGTGACCGGTTTTACTCATTTTCCTCAATAGACTGTAAATTTTGTGAAAACCGTTAGGAAAACGCAAAATTTGATTTCGATTTCCAATCATAAATATCTTGATAATCAGACAGGCGATTGGCTTGTAAAAGTCATTGGGTTCCTGAATGACCTAAATGTTGGTAATTATCATTGCAGGATGTGCTAAATCCAAGATTTTGTTTCAGAATCAGAGACAAAGTTACAAAATCCCTTTAACCTGACGTAACAATACTCCATTCCATTCGATTCCCCCTCCAGAATAGTGTCTTCTCCGTGGAGGAGCCTCACGCCGACTTCCTGGGCGAGACGAAGATGGATTCTCTACCACCATCGCCATCGCAAAACGCCGAGTCGCTCCGGTTAAGACCCAACCCCCACACTGCCGACGTCAACGACGTCCACTGCGAGTCGGCGACCCGGACATCGCCATGGGAGAGGAGAACTTCGATCAGTACCCGATTGCTGTTGGAGCGGAACAGAAACGAATGGCAACAGGCCTCACGTGTCTTAGACAATTATCTTTTTCTGTTCATCGTTTTTCTGACGGTCGCCGTCGTCGTTGTCATAGTGATATTATTTTTTACCCGGTGACGAAACGCAGGTTGAATAGTGACTTTAATGCCCACCTTGCTTGCGATGAGTTCAACTATTGTTGTAGTGATTACAAATACAGTCAAACCTGCCTGCTAAGGCCTCCAAAGGGAAACACAAAAATGGCCACTGTAGACGGGTGGCTTTTGGGGACGGGTTCTTCAGCGCACATTTACTTCAAGAGAGAGGCAATATCGGTGGCCAAAAAACAGATTTCTGTAACTAAATTTCATTTTGAATATATGATTTTTTTATAAATTACTCTGAAATTATAAACGTCTACTTTGACGAAATGTTACTATACACTTGTTAAAGCTTCATCTAAAATGTTGGTACGATATAGTGATAGAAGTTGACTTAAATAAAATTTAGGTAATTTATTATGCATAGATGGTCCGTTAGGACCTGTAAAATATATATTTTTTTAAACTAACGAAAACTCGCTGGAAATCTAGTTTATTGAAAAGAGCAACTAGTGAGACCGCGTGTTACGTAACTATAAAGAGGGGCTATAAAGTACAAGCTCGATTTCCTTTGCTTTCTATGTACACTACCAGTCCACCCAGCTACTATACTGTTCTTTAAAAATGGCAGAAATTAATACATTAATTTGTAACATTTGTAAGGTATGTTTATTTTAATTCTTTGAGAAATTATTGCCCATCTCTAAGGGACTCCATTATTTCAATGATTTATTAAATGAGGTGCATGTCAATTAAAAGTTTTTCTATCTCTATATTTGAAAATAATTTATTATTCGTTTTGAAATGAAGATCTCCACATTTTAATCAGACGGATTATAGTTTTCTCCAACAATAAGGAAAAAGAAGGATAAAAACAAAAATATTTAGATTGAATCGTAATTCTTTCGTGTACGGGTGACCAGTGAAGACGTGACAAAATAGGTGTAATGGGATCTCTCTCTCTCTCTCTCTCTCTCTCTCTCTCTCTCTCTATCTTGCATGTTCTACAAGTTTTGCAGCGATTTATTTTCTTTAAAAAATATCTTTTTCAGGTAAGCGAATTAATCCTTGAAAACGCAGACACTGTGTAGTAAAGTGACCTTCACCGAAATGTGTGTACATGATAAAATTCACAAGAAGAATATAATATATGCGTACATTATTTTATTTCAAAAGATTGCAATATAGTCAAACCTGTCTATAGCGACCGCCCAAGGGAAACACAAAAAGTGGTCTTTGTAGACAGGTCCCTTCAATGATAAACTATTTTCAAGGGAAACAAAAAATGTGGCCTTTGTAGACAGGTGGTCAGGTTTGACTGTAGTAACTTGTGTTTAATGGCCTACTTTATGGCTGCTACATTACTTTTTACTGCAAGGCTGACACTAAGTCATATTTTAAGATATCATATACAATTGAATGATAAGATTTATAGGTTGAGAATGATATTTGAATGGATTCTTTATAGCCGTGCATATGTGTATATAAAATGATAATATTGTCATGAGAGAATTATTATAGTGTTGTGATATATACTGATACGGGTTGTCGGCGCCGTTATCTTGTTAAAGTAAAGTATTTTCTTTAATTTCTCAATTTTTGTATCATTTACTCTCGATTTTAACTCATGATATTTGGTGCAAATATGTTCGAGTGTTAAAATACTAACACACTAGGTTGGCAGGAATGCGAATTGGTACAAATTTATCAGATTTACTTGTATTCCCATTCAAATAACACAACAATTCTAAGTATTCGTCAAGATTGATAATACTCGTTATATCAATGAGAAATTATCAATATTATTACGATTGAAAATAAGTTGTGTCATTGTATCAAACTCAACCACCATGGTGTCTCATACAATATGTGTAAGACCATTACTAACTATTCAACGTTTAAAAAAATAAAAAAGAGAATTATTGATAAGTGGCATATCCATCCAGAAATTGACAAACTGGGAAGGGGGTGAAAAGATTTTTTATCCAGTTGGGGAGGCGGAATATGCGGGGGCAGCCCCGTTGAATCACTGTAAAGGGCACTGGCTTTGTTCGGGGCCTTTAAAAAAAGAAGGGGGGGGGTACGACACTCTTGTCGAACTTCTTTCAAATCTATAATCCATACTGTTAAAAAAAATCAAGCTGTTAAAAAAAAAAATTAAGTTACGGGCAAAAAAGATTATCGTTCTACATGATAAAAAGATGAATTCTCCTTTCTATTGTAGCTTAACTTTCAAAATCGTGTTTAAAAATTGTGATGAATTTTTTGCATAAGTTATTACTAATCTTTGATCTCATTAAGTTTTCATTTGACCGGTTCTGTTTGGATTGTATCGACGGCCTATATAAACATACGCGTTGACTGTTTCGTCACATGCCCCAAAATATCAAATAAAATGTTTTGTAAAGTATTATGTTAAATCCATTTAAATTGATTATCTCTTGTCTTCCAGGGGCTTAGAAATATATTCATACTTGCTATTTTGCGTTTGCTGATGACTGTTAAACATTTCGATATTTATGATTTATTTATGAATCTATGCACTATAGTCATTAATCATAATGAAGAGAAGAAAACAAACTAATTACAAGAAAACTACGAAATGCAAATTGCAAATTGATGTTCAAAAATATAATATTGTCTCTATACAATAGGATTTACTTCTCGTGTTGAATAAAAGTAAAAGTAGCAGTGTTTTTTATGAAGTTACATGTTGTTAAAGAAATTGTCCGTTATAATCTATTTGAATATAATAACGAATGGAAAAGATTTTAGAATGAAGGTACTTATGATACACGCACTGAATCCAATGACCGGGGTAATAGTATATTTGTAAAGCCCTTAGAGACACTTGTATTAAGCGCTATATAAAAATTAAATATTATTATTATTATTACAAATCATTTTGGGGGAATTTCAGGTAAAAGATGTTAATTATATTTCACTCTATAGAGATTCTACTACTCATTTTGTATTATAATTAGTAAGTTCCCGATGCTGGTGTCATGCAATGTTTATCTTGGATATGTATATACAATTGTAATCATTTTATTATTATCTGTAATGTTCGTTTACCAGCTGAGCACCCATTGTACAATAATTTAAGTACGTGTACTTTTGTCTAGATTGTAAGAAAGGGAGGGACAATATAAACAGCACCACCGCATGTTTCTTTTTTCTTTCCCTTTTAATTTTTTTTAAATTTCGATTAGTCACTAATATCGGTCCACTATTCATTAACACAAATTATTACACCGGGGCCTTCATCTTTATAAGCTTGCTTTCATGTAGGTCCCATCATATTTTTCTCAGTTAAATCAGTACTCTATATTGACGACTTATCTTTATGTTATCTATTATGTACTATTGACTGTTATTTTATCACAAATAAAACACTTGTACTTTGTTTTTAAATATATATGTAACATTAGAAATATGAAAATAAAATAAATGAAATGAAATGAAGATGAAAATATTTCACTTATAATTATTTATTCTCTTTGCTCCCACTCTGATATCTTTCTCTCTCTCTCTCTCTCTTTCTTCCCCCTCCTCTCACCCTCTCTCCCCCTCTCCTCTGTTCTCATCCTTCCTCTCTGTTTACCTCTAACTCCATCTTTTTTTTAATATCAATATCTTTCTGCTTTTTTTAAATTCTCTGTTCCATCGTTTTGTATTGTTAACTATTTTCTTAATTCTTTATTGCGTTCTAGATTCTGACAGGAAATCTATATTTTCAAATTAGTGTTGACATTATGTCTTCGTTCATTCTTTTGTCGGCATTTCAAAGAATGAGACTTAATAAACCACTACAGAGAGAATGAAATTGATTATGTGGGTTTTTATACCACTCAACCATGCTCTTAATTTTCCTTTCATGCATCGACATACATTATTATGTGATAAACTCGCTCTAAAAAGCTTGAACAGGGTAACATTATCGTTCAGAATAATTTTGGATCTGTTAATGGAAATGATACATGCGTCTTGTTCCTTTGTTTACACGAAAATGAAATGACGTAATTTCCACAAACTAGACTTGACATAGCGGATTGGAAGGAATAACAAGTTTTCAACTCTACTTAATGTGGAGAGTGTTGGAATATTCCTACAGCATGTGAAGGATGGAAAGACATAAAGAGAGAGAGAGAGAGAGAGAGATAGAGAGAAAAAGAGAGAGAGGGAGAGAGAGAGAGTAGTTCGTGAGTGTGTGCGTGATAGATAGATAGACAGATATAGAAACAGTATGATAGAGAGAAAGACACACACACAGAGGAGAGAGGGAGAGAGGGATAGAGAGAGAGAGAGAGAGAGACATAGAGAGAGAGAGAGACAAAGAGAGAGGGAGAGAGTGACATAGAGAGGGGAGGGGGTATAGAAGCATGTTATGAATGTGAAATTAAAAGGAAGGTAGAGACAGAAGAGGATAAGAGGAAAATGACGAACAGAAGGGACAGAGAGAGAGAGAGAGAGAGAGATGGTAAATGGGAGATGAAAAGGGTTTCGAGAGAGAAGGCGAGTTAAAGGTATAGACCAGTGCCGGTCATGCGATTGCATTGTGAAAGAAACGTTGTGGAATCGATCAGAAAAGCTTGATCATCAAGCATATAACTATTGGTGTGTACTGCAAAGTTCTGGAATCATCAAAATTATTATAAATTTTGCCCAGTCTTGGAAAAGTTACAAGTCCTGCACACAGACAGATGTATATGGGACTACGCGATATCTATCCAGGCCGGATGGATATGATAATTTACAAAATGTATTCATCAGTAGGCGGTTCACCTGCAAAATGTGTATGATCACGTATTAGTCAAAACATATTCTTTCACATGATTGGTAATAAGAGCTTAAAACCGGTCTATACCTTTAAAGAGATAGGCAGACGAAACAAAAATCCAGAAAAACCAGAGGCAGACTATGAAACTGAGCTAAGAAATATAATAACCAACCAGAAATTATTTTACATTATTCTTCTTCCACAATAGCCATGAGAATACAAAGTGTCAAAAGGAAACCACATCCGTAAGAGAGGAGACTTTGGGAAATATAATTTTAAACGGACTACTCCCCAAATGAACCGAGCAATGAATCGATGAATTCCCAGCCTCCCAATCAAGCCACTCAGGCCCTAAATCATGTCATCCATTTTGCATCTTTCGGTGGTAAGGCAATGCGCCATGTTTCTCCCTCGAGTTTAAAGAGAAAGTCAAGTTATGGTCATGTGATTGCATTGTGAAAGAAACTGAGTGAAAGCGATTGGAAGACGTTTATCATGTAGCACATACGTATTAGTGTATACTGTGAGGTTTTGGAATCATCAAAATGATAAGAAATTGCTCAGTCTTGTTAAAGTCACATGCACTCTACACAGAAGTGTGTACATGGGACTACACAAATAGATGGCATGAAAGTGTTGTCCACAACCGTTAGCCGTTTCTTGCTATATTACGAATATGAGGGTATTTGAAGAGCCACCCGTATCAGGGAACATTCTTTTTATACGCTACTCCTCCACACTAACATAAACATAATGAAAGAGCTCACATATCATTTTTCACCTTAAACTAAACTTACAAAAGTTTTCTCTTTAAACACTCTCTAAAACCATCATTTCTGCATCGTTACCTGCATGCATATCCGAAAAGGTCATTCATTTAAGGTACAATTGCATTTATTTAAATTCATCAAACAGATGAAAAGCAAATTCTTGTTCATTTTGAATGATTCCTAAAATCAGAGGCGTATCTGGGTGTGGGGGGGGGGGGGGGGGGGGGGGTGGCGGCACCATACTCCTGAATAAATTAAATGCGTATCAAAAATGCAACAGAGGCGGTGGGGAGGGGTTCTATCGTGTTCTTTAAACCTCTTTTCACCATTTTTCACCATTTGTTTGAGGGCACGCTCTGCCCCATAGCTTATCCATTGCGTATAATATCAAGGGTTTGCGCATTAAAAAACAAGCATTGCGTGTATTTGAAATTGTGATCTCATCAATCTTCTCAAACTGTTACAAGGGATGACTGTTGTTTTTTGTTTTTCGTGTTTAAAGCCCTGTTACACCCACAAATGTAATAACGCCCACAAATGTAATAACACTTTACCCACAAATGTAATAACACCCACAAATGTAATAACACTTTACCCACTAATGCAATAATTTCACCCACAAATGTAATAACGCCCACAAATGTAATAACACTTTACCCACAAATGTAATAAAACCCACAAATGTAATAACACTTTACCCACAAATGTAATAATTTCACCCACAAATGTAATAATTTCACCCACAAATGTAATAACCACTTTACCCACAAATGTAATAATTTTTGAATCACCCACAAATGTAATAACGACTTTACCCACAAAATTAATGTAATAAATTTGAAGGGATATTTTGTCGAATTTGTTCAAAACTAAAACCCTGTAAAAAAACATTGGTATAGCGGGCAGTCGTTACTCCAGACCCGGTTATTTCAAAAATTAAAAAAAATCTTCCAAACTAAGACCCCATAATCCTTTTCCTGTGGAATAACTGTTGTTCTTGTTGTTGTTTTAGTTTATAGGCGTTTGTCATTCAGAAGTGAATATTTACGCCTCTTCTGTTAGGATTTTTATTCCTTTAAAATTAGATTTACTTTTTTGATATATAGATTTGGATAAATTGGATTTTTAAAAGCTAAACTTTTGTTTAATGTTGAAGAATTCAGTGGCTGGCGAGCAAAAGGCTTATTGGCTATATAGGACGCCCAAGGACCAGCTCGGACACGGTGCGTTGTGACAAGCTTCTCAACTCAGCCTAATGCTGAGCCTAGGCCCTCCGACGTCCACCAATAATATCTAGTCGTCTCCACCGCGTTTCTTCACAATTTTGTCCGAAAACCAATAAAAAACAGATTATATACATGAAGATTCCAAACGTTAATATAGGCAGTTCTCTCTTCTAATTTCTTTTTTTTTTCCTTTTTTTTCTTTCTCACTCTTCTTCTTCATGTATTACTCACTATAAAAAGCGAAACATATTGGGCTCAAATAATTATGTGCGGTGCAAGGTGATTAGTAGGGGTACAGGTGTACCCTTTTAGTTCTAATTACGAAGTTGACCAGAGCCTGTTGGTGATTAATGTCTGTTGATTTCAGGAGTATTGGGATTACTTTTTCGTTTTCTATGCCAGATTCTGTTATAAGCATGGCTCTTTCTATAAGAAAGAGTGGGCATTTGCATAACATGAGAATCGAGCGCAGTCTTTCCTCCAGACCCGGTTATTCAAAAGTAAAAAAAAAACAAAAAACTTTTAAACTAAGACCCCACCATCTTCCAAACTAAGACCCGGTAATAAAGCATGGGTTCAGAGCGTAGTTTTTTCTTCCAGACCCGGTTATTTCAAAACTTTTTTAAAATCTTCAAAACTAAGACCCAATCATCTTATTCCTGTGGAAGAACACGAGTATTGAGCGTAGTCTTTCCTCCAGACCCGGTTATTCAAAAGTTAAAACAAACAAAAAACAAAACAAAACAAAACAAAACAAAACAAAAACCTTTTAAACTAAGACCCCTCCATCTTCTAAATTAAGACCCGGTAATAAAGCATGGGATTAGAGCGTAGTCTTTACTTCAGACTCGGTTATTTAAAAAAAAAAAAAAATCTTCAAACTAAGACCTCATTCCTGTGGAATAACATGGGTATAGAGCGTAGTTTTTCCTCCAGACCCGGTTTTTTCAAAAGAAATAGAAATATAAACAAATCTTCGAAACTAAGACCCACCATCTTATTCCTCTTTTTTCATTTAAAAATAAATTACATTATGTGGATACAACACGTCACATATAAATGATTGGTCGGCGGTCACACGAACTGACGAATCAGTCAAAATGGTCCATATATATAACACACAGAGGAGGGACCGATTCGATGGTTCGTTGATCGTCGACGATTTTTTAATCATGTAAATATTCTAACGCCCACAAATATCCTGGAATTCAATGTTCGTAGAAAAAAAAGTAATTGAATATTGACCTTAAATGTATTTAAATATTGACGCTGATTGTTTTATGCATGTGATTATGAAATATGTTCACGATATGTAACATATATATATATGTACACTATTAGTGACATTGAAACGTTGGATTGTGATGTTATATTTTCATGAGTGCGTGAATGAATTACCCTTCTCCATGTGAT